GTGTGTGTGTGTGTGTGTGTGTGTGTGTGTGTGTGTGTGTGTGTGTGCGCTTAAGGAGAGGCTAGGACCCGGCCGCTGGGCAGGGGGAGGTGACCTTCAGGGGCGGTCGCGGTAATGAAATCACAGGGAGGAAGCCCTGATGTGGGGCCCCCGCCTGGAAACCCTTTCCGTCAAGGCTGACACTGATGACCGCATCCTAATTGAAACAAATGTGCCAATTAGGCAATTCATTTCTCACATCCTCTGCCACACACTTGCCAGGCTAATTTGTATTTGTCCCTTCATATTTTATTATTCTCCCTCCCACCACCTCCCTGCTCCCTTCCTCTCTGTCCCTCTTCTGCTCAGCGAATCTTTTCATCATTACCTACGGGCCCGTCAGTGGCAGGCAGACAGATAATGTGCAGCATGGACCTGCTGTGAGGGCCACGCGTTAATTGCCTCTTTCGAGTCACACATTAACCAGGATAGAATTGAGATAAATACATAAAGAGTCGGAGGGTGGTGGTGGGGGGGGGGGGTTTAGTGACAGATGACTTTAATCATGAGAAATTAGGCTCTGTCCCCCACTCCTCCGTCTCTCTATTTTCTTATCCAACGATGCTAAGCGCTTTACCTTTTGATGGAAAACCCGCGCCATAGGCTCTCTGTTAATTGTGGAGAAGAATCTGGGAGCCTTTGGAGATGGGCTTCTGAGTTTTTCTTCCAGGCCATCGGGAAAATAGAGGCTTCTACCGCCTCTGTACTGTACTCCTCTCCCCTCTGAAAATGAAAATTCCCAACTCCTGCTAACAGTGGTACACTTGACTGAGAAGTGAGAAGTGATTACTGTGTTATGATGTTCATTATCATTTTTATTTGTGTCAATATATACCTGCAATCCATCATCCCTGGGGTCTGTGTGTCATTTCTATTTACCCAGTGTTTGCATGCCCACAGGTGCTTCATATTTGCATCCAGCCAGAGTGTTGTTTAATATAAAGGTTGCCTGTGCGCTTCCTTCCATAAATCCATCAGCACGGCCCATTCTGCCACACGATGAATGTAATTTGCAAACGCAGCGATGCAGCGCCCTTACCAGGGTAGAAGCAGTAAAGTGTCGCTAAGTTTGTAATTTATAATTCGTTTTTCTCTCTGTCGCTGGCGAGAGGTTATAGTGCTTCCTTTGACTGTTTAAGGGGCCGTTCACATGTTCTGTCTGAGAACAGGTGGAAAACGCCAGCCATGCCACTTTTATCCACAGTGCCTGGGGGGGGGGGGGGGATTTTGGTCAGTGTCAAACTATGACGCTCTACAAAGCAGCAACTGATGAAAGCTGAAGTCAATGCTGAAGGGACTTTAACCTAATCTCTCTCTGGCCATCAGGGGGCGACTCCTCTGGTTGTATAGAAGTCTATGAGAAAATGACTCTACTTCTCTCTTGATATATTACCTCAGTAAACATTGTAAACATGAGTTTATGGTCTCAATCTCTAGTTTCAAGTCGTCTTCAATACAGCATGATGTTCATTTAGTAAACTATGGTCCATTTAGAGTCAAATAGACCATAAAGCAGGGTATGCTTTAGGGCGGGGCTACCTTGTGATTGACAGGTCGCTACCAGAGCCATAAGCGTCTTCTCTATCCCCAAATATGGTCCCTTACGTTCACTGGTTGCAAAAAAACAGGATGGCAACTGGAGGCTTCCAGACCTCAGTCCACAAACCAATGGGTGACGTCCCGTGACGTCAAGACGACTATGTCCACTTCTTATATGCAGTCTATGTGCTCTACATGGTAGGGAGGAGGTTGGCTTGGATGGATGGTCAAAAAAACACAGGACTTTTACCCAGCAGACCGACATTCTTGTTCCGTGTGAAACCAAAATCAAGTTGACTTATTTTAAGTAACATATGTAAGTTGAGTTATGTAACGCAACATTGCGCAACATGCTAAACTTATGTTGCATAGGTAACATAATCTACTGAACTACGTAAAAAACAACTAATTTTAATCCAAATCACAATCTTCCCTTTAACCTAACCAAGTTGTTTTCTGTTTATTTTGAGAAAGACAGTGTATGCATGTAACAAGCAGAACTTTACGCATGCGAAACTGATAGTAGAGGGCTACCTTCTGTTGAGCATTAGTTTGAAGCGTAAGACCAATGACCAAACTGCCTTATTTAATGAATTAGGAGTGAGAAAGTATTGACCCTGGAAGATATTCATGGTGTTGTGCCAAGTATGAAAATTGAACTTGAACTTAACATCCTGCCTATTGGCATTATAGGAGAGATGGGGCATAACATATTCACTGTGATCCTCTGAAATTTAAGTAATTTCAGGTTCATTCCATTTTACTCATCGTCCTTTGCAGCATGTGGTCTTTAATATACATCGAAATTCAGCAGGACAATCACAAAAGAGAATACCAGAACCCACCTGTAGCTGACATTACAATGGCCCAGTTGATGAACTTTCACACTGAACTGATTAAAAAGAAAACTCCTCCACTTTAAGATCAAGGGTGTTGTTTTTTTGTAAAAACTATAGTTAAGTGCAGCTGCAGCATTTTACTGGGGTGGGGGTTAAAAACGACTCACATTGCTCTGGATGTCAGAATCACCCCACCTGCCCTAAAGGGCATCCCAAAGGGGCTCCAGAGTGTATATATTGAGTATATACAGTTTTATTGCTGTGGGTGCACTTCACACGTTTCACCTGTGACCTGTGAGATGACCCCGGTGACATCGTCCGGGGTCATCTCAGGGAGTAATAACCCTTAAGAAACACAGCAGTCAGACAGTTAGCCACAGCTATTTGTAAGAGAAAGGGAAAATGAACGGCAAAATGATGACCTACATTGCTTTCTGTTATTGTCAACATATTAGATACGACTTTACCTCCAAATAAGTACTTTCTGTAATCTGGTTTTACAACCTGTCTCATCGTCTGTTTCTTCTCCTGTCAAGCTGCGTTGTAGTAACGTCACAAAGGCATGGAGTCACACCACTCGTTAATGTAACACTTGGCCCAGGTAGCCAATCAAATCAAGCAAGAGGCGGGCTTTACTACCTAACCACTTCCTTTCTCTTATTATGCCAGTAGAACGTTAAGTAGGAACGTTAGTACAGTGGCAAATACAGACGAAAGGCTGATATTAGCTGTATTTAATGAGGATGAACTTGGTGTGATCGTGGCCAAATAGTTGATTAATGATTTTGAATGTGATTTTTTTAATTTTTTCAGAAAAGTCACACCTCCGTCCTTTATCTTGCACAGGTGGAATGGCTGAAAAACGAAGAGCTGCTGACTTCCCTGACCGACGACAACATTGACACCCGCGCCGACCACAACCTCATCATCAACGAGGCGCGACTGTCCGACTCGGGCAACTATACCTGCCTGGCCAGCAACATCGTGGCTAAGAGACGCAGCGCCACGGCCACTGTGATAGTCTTCGGTACGCCGTCCTCCCAGCTGCTCTTATTGTCCCCTTACAACACTTCCTGGTGTTCTGGCACGCTGTTCACACGGCGCTTCAGATCAATTTGTTTAGTTTCCTGCACCCCTATACAAGTGATTAAGACACCCATCTCCGTGTACCCACCGAGGAGCGATGTTTCCTCTTTATTTCCGTGAATGTATTATTCAAACACTCAATTTACTGCCTCTCATTTAAAATCAATATGTACTTTATGGGAGGAAATAAGCCACTGTGTCTTAATCTCATTTAAAAGGAGTGTTGCTTATTAAGTATTTATTCACCAGAGGCCTTCCAGCGATAAGGCTTTGCCGCCTTTGATGGCGCTGCTGAACATTTAGCTTCCGCACACGTTAGACGGAGCGATCATAGAGTAAACTGCTTCAGTCAGAGCACTAAGTGGTCGCCTCCGACCTGTCGACCAGTATGAGTCAGCGTCGCCTTTAGAAATGGCTATTCCGTTTAAGGGTTGTTTTCTTTACTTTGGTACAGTTCTGCGTCTCTATCTTAATCCAAGAGCAAAGAACATTGGATTGCCAATTAAGAAAGAGGGAGCCGTATACATCCACCACAATGAATGTGCTGTGCTCAATCTGCTCCAGCCTTGTTGCCTTGCAGTGCCTCGGTGACTGCATAATCATTATTAACCCCGGCTCTTGTTCGAGTATTTCACTACGCCAGACTTCTGGAAAAGTAAAAAAAAAAAGTGCTGTGTTGCGCCCTCGCTACACCTCTTCTCACTCTCTAACTTTTTGTCGAATTCCCTCCAGTGAACGGTGGCTGGTCCCTGTGGACGGAGTGGTCGCCCTGCAATGTGCCGTGTGGGCGGGGTGTCCAGAAGCGATCTCGAACCTGTACTAACCCGGCGCCTCTCAACGGCGGGGCTTTCTGCGAGGGCATGTCTGTACAGAAGATCACCTGCAACGCACTCTGCCCAAGTCAGTTTCTCTTACGGAAAATAAAACACTGAAGTACAACTTTATGGTGTTGTGCAGATTCAGAAGTTGCTTTTTTTTCTAGTTGTCAAAAGTTACAAATACGTGGTTCAGAATGATTAATCTGACGTGGCGACGATTGCGTCAGGCTGCCAAACATGTAAATGTTCACATTTCATTAACTTGTGATATTTGTGGATGACAGGCGAGTAATTATTTAAGCTTCGAGCACAGTTTTTCCTTTCCCATTTGTTTTCAGATATATTGCAGCTCTCTTCTCAGCATGCACTATCACAGCATGCCACCCACATTAACATGTCAGACATTCATCCACTGCTGATACACACGGTGACTTGAATGAACGGAAGTCCCTGCCTCTTCAGCATTACAGACAACCAATTATAAAGGATTGCAAGGCACAGATGCATAGTGACCTGACAACATCCCTGTACCACGGTGCTGATGGAGCTAGAGAGAGAGAGGACTGAACTGAATGGGAGGTAATAAGAAGAAGGAAGCAGCCGAGGGAGAGACCATATGACTCAGAGCACTGTGTGATTCCGGGGGGGGGGGGTGAGCTGATGTAGTTTGTGAAGAAGTGACTCTCGTGAAGGTAAGGGTTATCTGGTAGTGAGAGTGGCCCAGCAATTCTGCAGTTCTGCGTTTCTTAAGGGCAGAGACTAGAATAGTATTATTGGTCTGGTAATCCACAATATTCAGAGGGAACGAAAAGGAGTCAGAGGATCAACATTTTGGGCCGTATTTCAGTCTGGACCAAACTACGGGACTGACCGGCTGACCAACTTTGCCGTTGCTAGTGTCATGCTGCTATTGTGGCTGAAAAGAATGTTCTCTCTCCTCATAAGTATCTTTTACCATTATTTTCTTTGCCATTCAAGCTAGGTGATGCTGGGCAACCCTACATTCTACATTTATATATTGCAACTTTGCAGATACAGTATGTTCATAAACATGTACATAAACTCCTTATGTTCATGAAAATGTGTGATCCTTGCTAAATGTATTTGCTAATGCAAATGAGGTGTATATGAAAGTCATTTAGCTTTCTTTAGCTTTATCTCTCTACATTAATGAAGATTATCTCTGTCTACTACATGTAGACCAAAATCCTAAATATGAGAAAGATCTAAACAAGCAAAATCAGTATATGTCCCACACATATATATAGTAAATGGGTCCTATCTGACAGAAATGAAAACATTTTCTCTGCTGTGCACATTCAGTAGTGAGATCGGTTTCAAGAGGGCAGAGAATAGGAGTCTATTGGAACCAATAAAAGGAACCAATGAAGGGCTTTAAAAAAAAAAGCTGTTTTGCTTATAAATATTTTATAGAGAGACATTTCCCCAGTTAAATTAAATGTAAACTTTTGTCAGATTTGAACATCTTTCTCTCTGGAGCTTTGGCAGACGAAAGTTCAATCCAGTGCAAAAAAAAATCACCGGTGGTCCAATGAGGCAGTGAGATGCATTTCTGTTACACTTCAAATTTATTTATATATATATATATATATATGTCTCCATTATGTATGAAATGAACTATGTCGTGTGAGCATATTTCCTACCTGTAAAGTCCATTGTTATGTGTTGAAAGCAATGCCTTTAGAAATGAATAATAATAATTAGCCCATAGCAGGAGAATCCAGACAGAGACTCGGCTTGGAAGGTGGCAGACTAGTAAGTGAGGCTTCAGGGAAAAGTGGTAAACGTTATATTTAGCAGTCTTTTACGTTGCCTCATATAGTTTCTTGCTTGAGTGCACACCACTATGCATCATCAACATGTGTGAAGGGAACATATGTTCAAGGTGTGTAATGCACAGAGGTGACATGCCTCCATGTAGAGCTGTCAGTCCCCAGCGCTTTGTTGCACATCCTGCACACACACACACATTTTCCCAAAGAGCTTGGAAGCTTGAAAGCTGGTTCAGAGGGTGGCCAGGTCGTCCAACGAGCCTGCCTCGTGCCAATTTGTTCGGTTTGCGAGGCTTCAGACTGCCAAGGTGCAGATGGGGACAGACAGTGGGGTCTAGTTTAATGGCATCAGAACAGGATGAGAGAGATTTGGACCTGGTAGAGAGACTAATACAGAAGTCAGGTAAAGAATGCTGGCATTAGGGTATGAAAAGTTTGTAAATTAAGTTTGAAAAGATGATTTATTATTTACTATTGCCAAGTTTTGATGAGCAGGCCCCTGATTTGTTTTGTAGACATGCACAATCAACAGTCAGTTACAGGAATGTGCTAAAGAAAATACTTGGCAATGTGCCATCAAAAGGCAGAGAAGAAGTCTGCTGGCTCAATAAGAGGTGCTCAACAGAGTTCTGCAGGAAGGAGTTCTAACACCAGGAAATGAGTACGAATACATTATTTGTCATTTGTACCAATCACCCAGAGCGCCGAGCTTTGAGGCAAATTGAGTTTTTCTGTGCGCAGGTTTTGAGACCGATTAAACGGCATATTAAAGTAACTGTGATAATTATGTACAGAACAATTTTTTGTGATGCTTAAGAATCACCCAGTATATTAAAGCAAGCATCAACTCCGTAAATGTTGACATTTGTACTCGTCACTGATAGTCCTGAATTTAGACATACATTCAAGAGGCGTCATCAATTTGGAACGGATTGATGAAAATGTCCAAACAGACAAAGTCCAGTTGCCTCATGTTAAAGACTTGTCATGTACAACTAGAAGGGTTCCTATGCTCTTTGAAGTACTCTTATTTAAATTCATCATTCAACTTTTTCTTGCTTACTTTTATGTAATCATTTACTCTCATAATGTAATACATTATTAAACTATGTCCTGATGATTGCATTATGATCTTTTATTACATCTAAATTATCGCACAAAAAGTTTAGACAACGGCAACAGTGCTGGAGGAGCTAACAGACGATAGCGTCATCAGCGGTAACCGCCACACTGGCGCGATGCAAAGCGGCAGCCATTAGCCAACATGTGGGGCAACACACACACACGCACACACAGACTGGGGATTACAGGAGCTAACATGTACTGTACGTGCTATGTCAAAAAAGAACAGAAAAGCTCAGATTACGTCACACAAAGAGGGAGAGTGACTTCAGTCTTCAGCTCAGGTAGACGTCACTACAGCGATTGTTGTTTGATGCTATATTAAAGCTCTGAATTTCACAATTTAGACCTTTATTAAGCAATGCAGGTTTAAAATTGGCTTTGTGATTGATTAATGAGGAAGGAAATGCATTCAACATGTTTGTTAGGCCTAAAGGATACACATAAAGAGTTTTGATAAGACAAGAAAACTCCACTTACATTTTGTCAAGAATGCGGAGCCTTATTATCCAGCATCGAGTCAGTAATCCAGGACCAGTGTTACATTCAAAGTCATCTTTCATCGAATAGTCATGAAAATCAGAAGCTAGTTGCTGAACCACAATTATGTTGGGTTATTAAAGATTATGTGATATATTGCTAACACAATGTTTTTTTTTGTATTCAATGTCAATTTTCAAAATGATCTTGACGCCCCAACCCCGTCAATACTACGGTTTACCAGCGTTAGAAATATTTGAATCATACCATGCCAGGATTCACTGTTGAACTCTAGCTTTAGTGCTAAACCATAACTTTCAATTAATCAATAAGGGTGAACAAGTGTCATATTTTACTCATCTAACTTTTACACCCACGCTTTATATATTAATACACACAGTTTCTAGTTAAAATCGCCATCATGCATCTTTTTTTATTATACTATATTGATCTCTTTAAGGGGGAAATTTGTCTCTGCATTTGACCCATCCCTGTATATAGGGAGCAGTGGGCTGCCAATGACAGGCGCCTGGGGGTTCAGCGTATTGCTCAGGTACAGTTCGACACATGACACGTCCCAGTCGAGGATCGAACCATTGACCTTCCGGTTCCCAGACAACCCTCTAAACCCAGTGAGCCACGGTCGCCACGATTGACACCGTCGGCCTCCTTGGGTGTCTGTGCAGGAATAAGTCTGATGAGGTGAATGATCAATAACAATGACTCAGCTTTTGCTTTTCAAGGGGCTGTAACATCTGCCTTTTAAAAATCACTTTCAGGCTTGTGGTCTGAAACAAAAAAATTGGAATTTCTACACACTGACTGATATATGAGTATCGGAGTTTTTCCAACTAGCTGCCTCTCACTGCCAATTAAAGCTGTCAACCTTAATAGTTGTGGAGGGTGGGTTTTGTTTGCAATGTGGAGTTCCCAGAAAGAATCTATTCCAAAAAAAGAGGAATAAGAATTTCCTACTTCAGTAGAGATGAGCAGACCTGTGCCACCACCAGGGCCTCACAGAATGACGGATGTGACATGCAGGGCGATCCGTGTTTTGTGGGAGGAAGGAGATGCAGACAGGAGCGAAGCATGGGCTGCCATGAACCCAGCTGTCTGAGGTGCTGACTGACAAGCCCCTCCAGTTCTGACAAGCCAGCCCAGAGCGTTGCCTTAATGATGGGCCGAGTGCAGGGAGAGCACGAGAGACGGATGACGTCAGAGGCTGCACCATGACGAGGCCACTGAACAAGAAACGGCAGAGAGCGAAGAGAATGCTGATGGAAATGAACCTCAGGTGGAGACCGAAGTGCTGGGAAGGGAATTCAAACTCAGTCAATGCAGATTGCCTGTGTACTGTACTGCCCCATGGTGTCCTACCAAAGCCTGCCACATGTGTCTATTCACGCTCGATACATGCATGCAGTCTTTTTAAAGATAAAATTCCCTTTTCAAAGAATACTTGGTTAGGTTAAGGCAACAACACTACTTAGTTCGGTTTAGGAATAGATCCTGAAATAGTTAAGTTAAGCCTACAAAACTTCTTCATTTGGTTCAGGAAAAGATTGACGTTTGGATTAAAATACCCCGTAAATCAACATTGACTTCTCGTTTCACATGGGGAACAAACAGCGGTCTCCTGGCTGAAAGATTTTTTTTTGTAGGACCCATCCACCTCCCCTGGCTCCCG